TCCATGGGCGCTGCCGAGACCCACAAGGCATACCTGTGGGTTCGTGAAGGCCGCAGAGTGGCCTGGAGGTTGCTTCTGCTGCTGCTGCCACCCACGGTCCTGTGATGGAAGCAGTGGAGACGCCGTTAGAACTGGGGATTTCTCACTCCACCCCTTTTGTAGAAATACTGGCCAAAGCAGGCAATTCTCACTGTCCTGGTGAGAGGGCTGTGTCAAGTCAGCTACCCAGAGGTTCCCAGTGTGAGACAGACTATCACCTACATCCCCTTCCAAGAAGCAATACTGTTGGGGAGAATTTATGATACCAGGGCTGGTGACGGAAGCCAGAGAGGCAGCCAGATTGCTGAGTCTCCACAGGCTGAGGTTTTGCTCCAGCCCCACGACTTTTGGTTGAGGCCACATTGGCAAGAGATGTTCTACACAGGACCACCTTCCTTCTGAGCTGGCTCTGGGGCTTTGTCTGCCAGTGGGACAATGCCAGCTCAAAAACTGATGCTGCCAACCTGTGGTGAGAAGCAATGAAAGGCAGCCAGGTCTGGGCAAGCCACCAGGACTGGGGAGGAAAAGCCCCCAAACAGGTGGAGGATTCCATATGGCACCACGTAGAGTCTGGCCAGGACCCAGACTGCTACGGACCAGGCACAAAAGCCTTTGGGGAGGGAGACGCAGGATTAACCCCTCCAAGTACAGCAGTCCTGCCACTGCAGTTGAACACCTAGGACTGGTTTCGGGTGGGAACAGTTAATTTCAGGGGACAAGAAAGCTCATTTTACAGAGTGGATCGTCTAGGACAAAGCTCTGCTCTCAAACATTCAGATCATGCCAATACTTGTCACACATCTGCAAGAAACCTTGCTGGACAGCCTTACCCACACGGAGCAGTTAACAGTCTCTGCAGCCAGACATTCGTCAGAGCTGCCTTTTTTTCCTTTTGTCAGCTGCCCCACTGACAAAAACCCCCACACATGAGAATACAATTCCCTTTCCCACCATCACTGCTGCTGCCCTGAGCTGCCCTGGAAAGCATCCAAAGAGCATCCCAACAGCCCCCCAGCAGCAGCTCAGCACTGGCCAGTTGTCTCTGGGACTCAGGGGAGGAAACACAGCGACCTTGGGCTGCCCAGGCTGGATCAGAGCATGTCTGTCTGCTTTGACATTTTGCCTAAGGCGCCGGCCAGCAGCCAATGGTGCAGAAGGAAGAAGCCTCCAGCCATTTCTTGGCAATGTGCAGAGGAGGAAAACATTGCAAGGGCATGGGGGAGCTCAGAGGGAGTCCAGAGAGACTCATGGATGTCTCTCCCCCGACTCCCTGTTCCAGGGTGGCAGTTCAGACCCTGCCTGGCACGCTGGGGTGCTGCACAGGAGAGGTCAGCCCTGCTCACACTGCTCATCTCTGGCATCGAGCACACCACACTCCCCCAGCACGGAGTACGGGCCAGATCTCACCCTGACATGTCTCCCCTGCCCGGATGAATTTTGGACTCTGTGCTGGGAATTCAGACTTGGCAAACCCCACCTGGAAAAGGCATTCAGCATGGCTGTGTGCTGGAGCCCTTAAACCTTGTGTGACCTTGGCTGCACCACAGCCACATGCCACCAGCCTCGGGCAGTGTTAAGAAACAAACAGAAGAAGGGTCTGAAAAAAGCAACTAAATCATCAATATAAGGCTTTAACTAGCCATATAGCAGACCCTCTTATTTCTACAGCTGGCTGCAAAAATAGCAACCCACACCTATCCTGGGATGTAGCTCTAGAAACCTCAGGCCCAAAGCTGGCTTCCAGCTTCCCACTCCAAACGCACCACCATGCCAGCCCCCCCAAAGTGCTGCAGGGGAAGAAAAACTGCCCCACATCCAAGACCTCAGAACAGATCCCAGAGCACTCCTGGCACCCAAAACCCTGACAGGCATTGGCTGTACCCCTGCTTTGGGCAGCCAAGCCCAGGGGCTCGCACCCCACTCCCCCGAGCACGCTCATGGCTGCCTCCCGAGCCCCTCTGCCAGTTGTGCCATGCTTGGAGGGAGGGGAGAAACAGCCAGAGCCTGCCTAGATGCACAGAGCGAGCTCCAAATAGGCATTGCTGAACAAGCGCAGGCTGCTCAGCCCCGCACACTCTGCAGAGACAGACAGACAGACACGCAGGAGGAAGGAGACGCCCACCCCGTTACTCTACCTTTGTGAGGGCTGTGATTTCTCAGCTCAAAGTGAGTGTTGCAGTCAGATCCAGTCGGCCATGTCTTCCTGCTGCTGCTGCCGCTGCTGTAGAAAGGCTGATGTATGAACATCTATTTTAAGCCATGACATGTCCAGAGGCAGGTTTGTTTATATCATGCTGTGCATGGATGGATAACGGAGGAATGAGAGAGATGGACACAAATGCAGAGATAGCATGCAAGCATGCACAGACATACACATAAGTGCCCATTGCTACGCAGACAAAAACAACAGGAACAATAACATATCAAAATTCTCCTGCCAGCTTTTCTCTCACTCCTCCTCCAGCAAACCAAAAGCCACAGGCACGCAGAAAAGGAGAGAAGAAAAAGCCGATGAAGTAGTACTGATGACACGATTACCCATATCATAAATCTGTAGCTGTCTCTAGAGGATGCTCCTTCATGTTTTTTTTTTTTTACAGTTGACCTTGTCCTCCCCCCTTGCTAGGGTCTCTTTGGCAGAGCCAGGGCTTGGCGGCATTTTCTTCATTTGCTAAGAAAATAAGCTGGGGTGGGGGGGGCAGGATGTATGTGGTGAGATGACAAACTATTTACAAATTCATGTCAAAGTCAGGGAACACTTTTTTCAGGGGGGAAAAAAAAGAAAAAAGAGGAAGCTCAAAAGATTGAAGTTTTGTGTTTTGACATTTTCTAAATGACACCATTCATTTCAGAAATGCTGCAATATTTCAGTTAAACATTTTCCAAGCAAAATATTCTCCTTTTCCTTTTGAAGTGCTGGCGTTCAATTTAAAAGTTTGACTCAAATCAGAAAGTAGGAGTGTGGTGGCAAAAACAACCTGAGGAAGAATCGAAACATGCTGTTCCAGGCCAAACAACACATCCTAAGAAGATTTGTGGCATTCCCTCTCCCACTCCTATTTGATTAAAAACCAGGAAAATTTCTTGGTTTGTTTTCAGCTGAACTTGTGTTTTTCCCAGGATACAATCCCAGAAGCTTCAAGGATGATCTCAGCATCACCAGATATCCATCCTGTCCCATCTGCACTGCAGCATGTACATGTGATGAGGTTTAGCTGGGCTTTTTCAACATCCGTCATGGACAGCACAGGTCCCAGGAGTGCAGCCTCAAAGCAGCATGCACCTTTCAGTATATCACAGGCCTGTTTTTTTCCCCACACCATGCATAGCTAAATGACAGGGTTATCTGGAGCTGTACTGGAGGTTAACAGCATACATGGGTTCAAAAAGACTTTGGACACACCTGGATTTCTGATCTCTCAGCCATCCCCAAGAAGTTCTGGATACAGCTTCAGCCTTGAAAGTTGCTAACGCCCCAGAAGCTGGAAGATATACTCAGGAGGGCATTTGGGTTATGCCCTGCTCTTAAGTGCTTTCCCCAGACGGTAACTGCTGGCCGCTGTTGGAGCTGAGTACCAGGGATGATGGACTTTGTTCCAGTTCCTTTGCACCTGCAGAAATATTCAGATGGTGCTAACAAGGCCCAGGAGAGACCCACACACAAGACTAACAAAGCTCTCAGAGATGCAGATCCAGAGGGTACCCATAAGCCCTCCTGCCAGCTATACTCACCTGATCCTCAGGGAACAGAGACTCCAGCTCCGTCTGTCCTAGCTACTAGTACTACTCCATCTAGCATGCTAGAGCTAGTAGGTATAGCCCCATGGGCTGGCCAGGGGCAGCCTTCCCCTCTCCTGGCATGGTCTCCAAAAGCTCCTGCCATCACGAAATGCTGCCCTGCTGCCAGCTGCCTCTGCTCCCAGGCAACAGGCAGCAAGAAGCAGTTGCTGGTCCCACCCTTTGGCTCCTGTGCAACACATGAGAAGCAGAACCCAGAGACCTGATTTATCCCTTCCCTCCACGGTTTGCTCCAGCTCCTCCATGCCCAGACTCCCAGGGGTGCACAGACAACAGGAGGTCATGGGTGAGGGCTGGCTTCGCTGTCCTCAGTGAGCTAACAGTATTTCACTGCTGTGTGATGCTGCCCGCTTGGGAAAAGCCTGTCCTGTATCCTGAATCAGGCACTTGATTCTACTTACCTGCAGAAAGGTTGAGCTTTTCACTTCTGCCTGGCAGTGCTCCTCCAAAAAAGAGGGGTTGAGTGATCTAAAAGGAAATTTGCACTTTCACAGCTCTGCGAGGCACCTTTAACATGGACAAGCAGAGGCCCTCTCCCTCCCCTGCACCAAGGAATTATATTCCCAGTAGCCTGTAAAAAGTGCTTCTGAATAGACGAGCCTACAACCCCTATCACAAAAGGTTAAATCTGAATTAAAAAAAAACGACATGAAATAAAATTAGGTGGATAAATGTCTTGGCAGAGCATTGCCTGCAGGGAACTTACTGGTCATTTAAACAGAGGATTAGTAGTTGTTAGGTTTTTAGTCCAATAATAATACTGGAATTGCTTTGTAAAGCAGCCAGAAGTCCCCAACAAAGCTAGTGACTGCCTTTTAGATAATGAAATCTCAGATGCTTTGAAATGCCTGGGCAGCTGCATCAAGGAAAAGTGTCAGCAACCTATCTTTTTATAAGGGAAGTTTCACAGACACAAACTAGACCTCTTTGCCTCACCTCCTCTCCTTGTTTTCCATAAACATCAGTGATGTAGCAGAGACTGAGCTGCTCCTTGCTTGCTGGTAGGATTTATCAGCTCAGTACATTGCTTCTGAAGCTCCTGTCCTTGAAGACAAGAGGCCACTCACAGCACTGGAACTGGTCTGCAGGCTCGGTGGGGGCACAAACATCGTGTGGGGTTTGTTGTGACTTTCACATACATCTTGCCCAATTTCCTCACCTCCTTCTAACCACCCCCACGCCAGAGTCATGTCTCTCACCTGTTTTGCCCTGAAGGGCCCTGAGAAGCAAAAACCACTCCGAGAACTAATCACCAAGGCACAGGGAGAGAATTTAAAAAAACAACCCAAAACCACTCTCTCTTGCTGGCAGCAATTCCCTTAAAGCTGTTCCCTCTGAGAAGCATCCAGCTGCAGGACAGGACACAAAGGTGTCCCCCAACCTTACTTGCCTGTGAGCTTTATCACTCCCTGATGCCTGAGCCCACTAACTGAGAAGGATCATCTGGTCCTTGGCAGATAAGGATTATGCAGGAGCACAGCCACAGAGACACGGAGAGGTAGGGTCTGCCTTCCCCCAGTCATGGGCACCGCTGCTGAGAGTACCTACAGGGCTGGATAGTTTAAGGATAGCACTGGCAGAGATTTCCTATATCCCCTGACAGACAGACTTGCCTGCTGTGGGGTGTGCTGCTGTTACAACAGGGGTGGGATGCTGACAGAGGCGGCCAGGGTATCCCTGTATCTCAGCTGTTGTCAAAAACCGCTGTGCACAGCAGGCCTGTGGCAGCCAGGATGCAGCAGCTGTTTTCGGCTCAATTAGGGACAGAATCGGCTCCCAGCAGAACAAGCAGGGCACCCGCTGCCCCCAGCTCTCCCCCCTTCCCCTATGCTGAGCTTGGAGCAGGGAGGAATCAGGGTTGGGGTCTGCAAAACCCTCAAGTGAGCTAAGATAGAGGGCTGCTTGGAAAAGTTCACAGATCCAACCACTGGAGGCTGCTCTGGTTATACATAAATCACCACCTTGCGCATTGTCAGGTGTGGAAAACTCAACACAAGGAAATAAAGGGCAGGGGTTAGAGAGTTTCAGAGCTGCCATTTCCTGGCTTTATACTCCCTATGCAAGCAAATTCACTGTGGTCTTCACAGCTCTATTTTAAAGATCAGAGATCAATCACTTCACGCACTAAATGCTGCGTGTCCAAAAGCCACCTGGAAGGCACAGGAGCCAGACTTTATTATACTCAATCATAAATAGAAAGAATATATGTATTTCACCCAACATGTGCTATTTGATGGATCCACTGCAGAGGAGGGTGGCAGATGGAGGGAGTGCAGAGGGCACAGATAGCTGTACCATAACAAGGTGAAATTAAGCCTACTATAAGTTAACAGTCAGGGTAAGAAGGTGGCATTGTTGAAAAGGGTAGTGCAGGATGACAGAGCAGCATTACAGCTGCATACTGAAAGAGATTTGAACAAATGTGATTTACTTGACACTGAAACTGCCCAGAAGGAATTGTGTGCTCAGCTGAGGGGCAATAACTACCAGCTGAAGGAGGCAAATCCACCACTTGCACTGTGGCACAGGCTCTTCTCTAACTGCTCCAGGGATGAAACGTTGTCAACGTGGGGTCCACTACAGGCTGCCTCAGAATATATCATAGAAAATTTATCTGAAAAGGCTAAGGTCATGTGGCCAGTCAATCCAGGGTAGGATCAACTCTCTATCAAAGTAATGAAGTAATAAAGAGTAATCTTTGCCCTCTACTTGCCTACATTTAGGTCAGGGATAAAGATTTCTTTTAGGGCTCTATACATGCTCTATCAGTCTGGAAGGAAATTGCAAAGCTCAAGGTGACCACCCTCCGAGGGGCTCTCCCAAGTCCAGCCCACGCTCCTCACCCTCTGCACCTTTGGGACAGAAGTTGTGTGCTGTTGAGTCCTCTCCCAGCCCCCAAATAAATATCTGCTTCCCTGGAAGAAATGTGATAGAAGGTAATAAGCCCTTGGAAACGAGGATGTGCAGGTAACATAACCCCTCTGTGCCCATTCCAGTAGCGTCAGCCAGAAAGCTAAAGCCTCATCACTTGGCTGTATTGACTCACTACTGGAGGGGGCCTCTTGAGTTCTGGCAATGCTGAGATACTTTCCATTAAAAGAAAGAAAAAGGAAAAAAAAAAAAGGAGGCAGCAATAACAGGCACCAGACTCATTGTCCAACAGCTGTAAAACCTGCAGAGCCTCAATTTGTGAGGAAGCAGTCTTGTCCAGAGGGAGAAAGACAGCTGCTTGCTTTGTTGCAAACTTGTAGTGTTTATGATTACTTAGCAGGGAGACTGAATTGCTCGTGGACGCATTTCGCCTGTCATCCACTGTCTTGTTAATGTCAGAGGCAGCCTGGGACAGATTTGAGTTGCTACAGAGCAAGGAGGAAAAAAATCAAAGAACAAAACAGCTGAAAAAACAGTAAGTTGCTGGCAAAATATGCTGTGAAATCCTGATGCTTTCT